TATAGCTCCGAGTCTTTGCCCACTCCTGACATAACGATGATGGACGAACAAGAAGGTTATACTCCCTTTGAGCAATCTTCACCCGAGTACGGAATGGAATATGAGGATCAGGTGAACTACATGGATCCCGTCTCCGTCGAGCCTCATGAATATCCGTTCTCGTTCTCCGATTATGAAAACGATTCCGAAACGGAAAAAGAAAAACCGGTGATTCTCCGGGAATCAGCCGAGAAAATTGAAGTTGAAGTGCATCCTTCGTCCTCCGGGATCGACAAAAACCTACAACAGGACACCGAGGATGTTGAAAGTCTTGTCGAACAACCACAAGAGGCTATCGCAGTCGAGGAACCGCAAGAGCCGACTTCGGTCGAGAAGTCGCAAGAGCGGGATGGTGCACGCGAGGAGACACCCGCGCCCACCTCATATGGCTTCAGCGTTTTTGGGGCTATCCGTAAACTTTTTCGCCAATGACCCAACAATACTGAATCATAGCTGGTATACTACCCGAGCAAAAATATTTAATTTATTGTAATATTGATAGTTTTACAAATAATGATGTGGGTGACTTTTTTATCTAAAGGTTAAATTGCACCGAGATGCTTTATGAAATCTTGTAATCTATCGATAAGTTTATGAAATTTTTGCATGGTTAACAGTAATGTTGTTGTTGTACAATAAATTAAAGAAGTTTTTCGAAACGATTGTTCATTCCGGTGCATCGATATATAAACAACTCGACCTCAATTCCCCAAACCCAATTAAATCTAAGCGGTGGCTTTCACTCTGAGCTCTAACTGTCTATCGTACAGGCCCTTTATTTGTTCCAAGACCAAAAATGTTACAACCGTATGTGGCCCCAGTCTCACAAATGACGGCACCCATCCTTTGAATAATGCAAATGGCCCTTCGCGAACGATTATCGTTTTAAACATTGTCACAAAACTTTGCTACAAATTGGGGAACGCGTTAGCTTGCGAGCACGACGTCGACGTTTGAAGATTCCAAGAATTCCGAGAGAGAAGATAAAAAAAAAAAAAGAACCAACCTTATTTTTGGATCCAGAATTCATGACCCGCGTCTTGATAACGTC